ATTCGGTCCATACAATTCGACAGCTATCGTTGTAATTGCTCATTGGACAAGCGCGGGACCTTTTCGCTTCGGAAAGAAGCAATGGGACAGTGTGACGTCATCATTAAAGGAGAGGGTCCGTTTTCGAGCTGCATTGTGTAGTGCCTTCTTCTCTGACAGCCAGTGATGGGAGACTGCACTGCCAATCAAGTCAGGGTCATTGATTTCACAGTTGTATGGTTAATAGGCACATACACATTCAATTCCACGTCTAGTATCTTATAATGTGAGTCATGAGCTTCTACCGATGGGAACTATTTCGTTGTAAAGTAAACTAAGTCAAAATTTAAGTCGTACTGTACAATCAACTTTTACAATATGCTTAAGCTCTCACCATCAATTGTGCAGCGACTATACATTTTGCTGGCTGTTTTGCGTGCAAATGCTAAAATGTTACCTTGCTTTGCGCCTTTCTGTTTGTTTTACGGTGTCTGAAGAAGTGATAGAAATATCGTACCCTAACACATTAAAATCCAAGGCCGTTGAAAACCGTGGTTAACTATACTGGCTGCATTAGAAGACTCTGCCGATATGAATATTACATATTTGTGTATTCAGTCAATTGAACCAATTTGCATACTGTTCAAAGTACTCGACGACTCTGCTATAAAGTGCTGAATTTTTTGGCTAAGTTTAAATCAGAACTGCGCGAATCAAGCAGCTTCGGTGAGTGTTCGTAGCGCTCTGTTTGTCGGCGACATTAGAAAAGCCGCGGGTGGGCGAGCACCAAGTGCAAGTGGCGAAACTGCTCTTGTTGCCGTGAAAGGGAAAGTGGCTGGAAACATGAAAATTCGAAACTCGCCAAGTGCGTGACCTCTCTGCGCAAAAGTGAAACGGCATCGAAGCAGAGTCATTCAAGCGTTTTGCCGGGAATCCCTTTGCAACGCCGCGTGATGAGTTTCTCAAAGAGGTGCGGGTTTCGCCCCAGAACCGGTTCGTCCTTGGACCCTTAGACCGTCGATCATTCCAGTCGTTAAGACATTTACCAACGGCCACGTCAACAGAGGACAGCTGTCCAAAACTTGGTGTGAAAGCGAGAGAGCTTCTAGGGTCTCACCCAAGACAATGCCTCATATCGTTCTCTAAACGTTCGAACGTTTCAGGCCGTTAAGCACATCGATCAATGTCTAAATTGCCAGGCGATTAACGTCTTGTTACAGAATGACGTCGTGATGATAATTTGAAATGAAAACGTAGCGAGTACCTTTGGCTGGTCTCACCTTAGACGAAGTTGGTGATGGCTGTCTGGACCATCGATCGTCCCCCGTCGCTAAGTATGCTTTGCACTGTGTTAATCGATGCTTGACTGACGTTGGTCCAGGGAAGCGTGGTAAATGTATCATGAAAACAGACAGTGCTGAGGGCTTTCGCAGACTCGTTAAAACGACCCTGAGGATTTGGAATATTCCGAGCCTTTAAACAAACCAATGTATCCTCGAATCGATAGGAAACTAGATAATGCTCTTCAAGAGACCTCATAATACTGTTCTGGAGGTCTGCTGGGAAATGTCTTTGTAATACCGTCGTTTCAGGCGGTATTCGGGGAGGAAATGTCAGGATCTTGGGGTATATCTTTCGTTAAACAAACATCCAGTGACCAAATTAACAAGCATCTAGCGGTTTCTTGAAGAGAACATCCTTCTCAAACATTGACTTAAACGGAAGCAACGAGTAGGTGTCTGTTTGATCTACAAAGAAAATGCGTTCTGTTAATTCCTCTTGAAGAAGGAATTTGTCCAGACGTGAGATAGGCCGCCCGACAGGTTATTCTTGAAAAATATGAAATTGCGAAATTTTGCCATGGCTACCTCCAAGAATGGGCAAACAGAGTAATGGATCTGGCAATGTTTAATGAGAGCAGTCAATAGATAGAACTGATGCGTAGAACCTAGCTATATGTGCCAATGCGTCTCTTTCTTCTCTTGAATGCGAGGTCAGTTTCCTCTGTGGGACGGCCATCGCTGCGTCAGTCAAGAGACCAATCTACTCCCTGTCGAAAGTGCTTGTTGTGCTCTTTCTGCTTTGCAAGAAGGAAACCAAAACCACTTCAATGGCGTTGTAGAACGACATCAACCCATCAAGCTACTTTTGCTAAATAGAAGTGACGGTTCAGTATCATCTTGACTCACTTATGGTCGATGAAGAAAGAAGTAAAACTTGTTAAATGTAAAGGTAACGACTAATGAAGAGCAGCCATCGTTCACCTAGAGAGAGACCTCGTGGTCGGAGCAGATTAGGTTTGTAACCACAGTCAAAAATAGTAGACTGCCATATTGGTTAGGTTTGCCTTCCATTGCCTGAGGTGGACTAATTAGTAAATGTACGTAACATGGAAGACGGCTCTGCATTCAACGGTAACCTATATGTCTAATGGCATACTGCCCTAAAGATGGGCTTCTAACTGCGGAGAGGCTCAGTTTCATTCTTCCTGAGGGAAATCGTCTTCACCTCGAATTCTCTTCAGTATAGAATTTCCCAAACGTTTGATTTGGTGCAGCAAACGGAGTACCGGCTTGTTAGACCCTGACTTGCGAGAAATAGGGCAGTTTTTTGATGCGGTCATACCAGAATTGGTGAGAGGTACGACCATGCTGTTCGATACCCACGCTGTATGGGCAGCAATTCGCCTTGACCCACCTGAT